CCCCAGAGCTAAAATTCTTTTTAAAAAGTAAAGAAAATGACATCTTAGGTCTTCAGAAAGTTTTAATTGGCTTTAATAAGATGCAGTAATATTCCTATTATCCCAGTTATCTGTGGGACAGAATATTTCATTTAATTGAATATGCTGGTTAATAAAGACTTGCCCTATCTATCATATACAGATTATAAATTTCAAAAACTATACCATTGAAGGTCACATGGGATGTGATGTACTCCTTCTGTGATGATTCAGAAGGCACTTGGGATATTCCAGGGCACCAGAAAGAAAAGAAAAGGGGAATAATCTGAAGAGCAGCTCACCAGGCTTTCATGAATGTTACGGTACTTAACCTCAAAGTGAAGCGTGTGAGATCGATGCTATGACTGTTTGACAGCTATAGAAGCTAAGACTGGAGTGACACATGTCCTCAGGGCCACACAATGGCAGGGCTAGGACTTACACACATGATTCCAAATTCTAGTGGCCTCTCCCATTAATGTATGTGACTCCAAAGTTCATAGCAATGGATGGAGTTTCTGGTAAAGCAATTTTAATGATATACATGAAAACTATAAAGCCAAGCAATACTATTTTTAAAAATCATATTTAAAATAGAAAAATAAAAGAGCTCTGGAGACTTAATCTATGGTATCCATAGATGGTAAAAATTAAAGAATGGGCAATAATTAAATCTAGTTAACAGAAGAAGAAGGAGCCAACACCATGGGAGGATTTAAGTGACTGCCGATGTCATCAAAAGTACTATCCATGGTATGATGGTGGTCCAGAAGCAATCTTCAAAGAAGGTGACAGTTAAGCCAGATATCAGCTCAAAGGGGTATCTAGACTTTGTAAAATCATCTCCCCTTTATGAGAGCACTCAAACCTCAATGCTAGACACAGTAAGTATTCAAAATAAAAAGCTTGGACCCTGAGGCCATACTGACCTGGATTCATCCTTAGATAACCTTAAACCAGATCTCAGGTTTTCATCTATAAAATGGGAATAATACCTACTTAAGTGGGTAGGTTTGTGTTTCCTTCCCAGCCTCCTAACACTAGAATCTCTTATTCTACCCTCTTATTCATTTCAGGTTTTAACCCTCCCTCTGCTCTGTGCATAAATGATCATAGAGGGAATTTGCAGAACTGTTTTCAAGAGCAGGTATTGTCCACACAGTCAGGGGAACGGGCTAACTCATATTTCTAGACTCCTCTCAATGTCACTGCATCATGGAGGTTTGTCCTGACCAGTTCCCACTCCACCGTTAACCACCGCTTCTCCTCTGCCTCCATACGGACCTGTATCTGCCATAGTTGGCTCTTATGACACTATACTGGATGTGTTTCCTAGCTTCCTACTGGGCCATGAACTCAAGTCTTTCATCTTTGAACCCTTGGGCCCCATCTGGCTAACTAGCTCCTGGTAGTCTCCACAGGATTTGGTTGAATAAATGAATAGAAGAACACCAGTTTGCATCCTCTGCAGGCCTAGGCCCTGAGAACTCTGTGTTATTTGTAAGATCTGGAAATTATACAGTCATTGCTGTGTTCATCCTTACTTGGTGTATACACTCCAATGAAGAATTCACTTTCCAGGCTTGCTACCCCTTCTCCCCAAATAATGGTATCAGAGAGCCTTAGCTGGGTGAAAGTTTCTACCCCAATGGGGCAGCCATGCCTGGCTCATTAAGCAGTAGGAATGCATTCAGGTTGGAGAGGTGACATGAGAAACCCATCGACTACCACGTGCCATCTGTGGGCTGCACCACACTCTGCACCACCAGAATAAACACTGTGATTAAGGGAGATGCCAGCAGACACAGAAGGGAAACTTGCAGACAGTTCTGCCTCCCTTCCCCCAGGACTCTACTGTCTGGGATCTCAGGGAGCACAGGGAAACGGGGTGCCCTCTGCTCCTGTTTAACTTCCTGATAGGCACATAAGCTCACTGTGTTGAACTTGTTTTCCCTATTGGAGGAGAAGGCTGTAGGATTGTCACTTTCAGAGAGCTCTATTTTAGTGTGGAAAAAAAAAAAACGCTACTCAATATTTTTAGTCCATGTAAAAATACAAAGTAGAATTTGCTGTGCTCCCAGAACGATCTTAAATGGTAATGTGTCCTGAGGTGGGAAATGACTTTGTGTAGTCAGGACTACTCTGTTCTTGGGACACATTGCTTTTCAATTTAAAAGTCATCTTTGCTGCAGTTAAAACAAACAAACAAAAGCCCAACTCAGTAGAATATAACAACAAATACTTATTTCTCACTCACTTTTCATGTCAGCAGATACAGGGCTGCTCTGGCTGGGTTCTGCTCCTTCTTCCATGAAGACCGAAAGAGCAGCTCCAATTGGGGATTTTCTATCTAGTGACAGACAGGAAGTGCAAGAGGGCTGCTGAGACCTTGTGATGCCTCTTAAAGCTCTGCTGGGAGGTGGCATACTTGCATTTGCTCACATTTGATTAGACAGAGCAGGTCCTGTGGCCACGACCAAAGTCTTTGGGGCTGCAATGTGTAAAACTCTTACAAGGAAGTGGGTAGGATACACCATTCACCAAGTTCGCGAACATTGTCATGGCCTGGATGGAGGTCCAGAAACATACTGTACCTTCCAGAGCAGAGTTTCTAGAGAGAAGATGAGCCAGAGTTATCAGTCCCTTCAAAGGAAAGTAGAAAATAAAACCACTGGTGATTCTACCGTCTGCCTCTTCGACTGCTGTTTTATAAGTTGATTCCCACCCATTTGTATCCCTTTCCTGTTTTCAGGAGATGATGGATCACAGACTCACCCTGAGAACAGCAGCCAAGAAAACAGGATCAAGGCTCGCTGCCTCTCCTGCACATCCATGGTTCTGAAGGCCGTCTGGGGACTCTTGATCATCTTGTCAGTGTCATCATCTTGGGTTGGAACCACACAGATTGTAAAAATTACTTATAAGAACTTCTACTGCCCATTTTTCATGACCTGGTTTTCAACAAACTGGAACATTATGTTTTTCCCAGTCTATTATTCTGGTCATCTGGCCACTGCTCAAGAAAAGCAATCTCCAATGAAAAAATTCAGGTAGGTTTTATGTTAAATGGCCGATAGGAGATGTCTTAAAATAATTCCATGGAAATATACCTAATTGCATCTCTTAGGCATATGAGCTGAGTGGACTTGGGGAGTGGGGAGAAACAGGACCTAAGGTCGGTAATGAATGCATGAATGCTAGGAAACAGAATCATTCCCCTTATAAAACAATCATTGAGCGCCTACAACATTGCACACACTGTGCTGGTGCTTTTGTATATCTTACAGTATCTACTCATCATTGGTGGCAGCATCTACCTTTTACCGTGGTGTTATCATCCCTGTTTTAACACAAGTGCGAACAGGTTTAGCAAGGTTAAATGCCTTGTACAAGGTCACACACTTATAAATAATGGAACCCAGATTTCAATCCAGATCTATTTATCTCTTTTAACAGAACACAGTGTCTGTTAAATAGTGTCTCAAGCCCAGGGGGTTGGGGGGAAGCTGTATGAAAAGGATTAATTGTTACAAAAACATTTGCTCAATGTTCTGGACACTATGGTGTATGAGCAGATGAAATGACCTGATTTCACGTAAAGGGAAGTTTGGCCCTGCAATAGTTTGAAAGATGCTGTTCTTTGTTGGCCAGGAGCACAGGGGCCCTTGTCTGTGGGTTTGCCAACCATGAACTTGGGAGTATCATGGTTCTAGTGGCTGCTCTGTGCTAAACCTGGCTTCGGCAGCCCCATCTTGGAGAGCTCTGGGAGCTGGCAGGGCCAATGTCCACCAGCCCTGCACAGCACTCAAGGAAGGGAAAAGCTGCATTTGGGTCAAAGTTCCTTTGCTAACAGACAGCTTCTTGGAGAGGAAAAGCCCGGTGTTAAAGAATAACTACCAAGACAGTCACTCTGATCAACAAGAAAAAACAGTAGTCAGGACCTCAGTGGGTGGCAGTGGGAGAGCAGCAGTTCTCCACACTAGCTTATTGCTCCTTGGCCGAATGACAATAAGTTTGCCTTGTGGGAGCCCAAATAACCTTTCTTTCTTGCCCCTGTCCCTAATGAAAAAAAGGAATGACTATTATAATTGGTGCATTGTAAGACTATTTTTAAAAACTTAATAAACTGTGAAGGCTGTATCTTCAATTTCCATTTTCTATCGCCAGCTTGGAAGTGCCTGGGAATATTGAAGTCACACTGTGAGCTGATTTTCCATGCGTGTCCATGAAAATTCAATTATAATTAAAGAAAGAGAATTTTTTTAAATAGCAAATATTTTCTGGTTTGGAGGAAAGAAAAAAAGCCTTATACCTGTTTGTGATTGTTAAAGATACTTTGCATTTAATTCCCATCAAAATAGACATGATCTTGGGGCACAAGTTCTTTTTTAATAATAATATTTAATAAACAATTGCAGGAGATGTGATGATCAGACTAAAATTCTCCCTCTTTGAAAATATCTGCATGTACCCATGGCAAGATGTTCTACTGGAATTCTTCTATGGTTTAGACACACAGGTTGATATGAAGAACAAAAATTTAATATGGAAAGTAGTACCTCAGAGCACCTCTGAGCAAGCCAAGTCGGTTTTATTTAAGATAACACATTTATAAGAGGCTGCTGCTAACGGAAATTATTTGGGAATAAGCTTCATCTTTACCACATCTCTCATGATGGACTAACACTGAATTTCGTGAAATCTGTGATTTAAGATACCTCCAACTGTTGGTGCGGGTAGAATGAAGTTGACCATTTCTAAAACTGAGTCAAAGAGCTTTATTGTCAAGCAGAAAACATTGTCTTTGAAGGGATTATTCTCCAGGGCCTCCAATATTTGAGAAGTAAACATTATCAGAAAATCCTGAGATCCTGTAGACTCATTAACACCATCTGCCAAGAAGGCAATCCCCAAAGCTCTCAGAGCAGGACAACAGGAAAACAGTTAGTGTGTAAGACTAGGGACAGAATTTGTCCTATCGTGTCAGACCCTCTGAGTAAGCTTCTCCTTTTTTCTTATCACGAGCATCAAAAGAATTTTTCATAAAGTATTAAATCTAGATGATAACAATCGTCCATTTGCAAGTAGTTTTTGATGCTTTGATTCTTCCATTTATAGACTATCAAGAGAATTCAATTGCCTCAGGTGAATTTGAAATCTAAGAAGAAAAATATTATATGCCATAGTTTGAACAGGGGTATTTCCTTAAGGAAAAAAAATCTCTAGAAAGCATAAAGCTAGAGCCAAAGATATTTGTCTATGTCAGGTACCTATGATGTGTGCTTACGATGCCATCTGACATCCAGAAATGGCTCAATAACTAGTAGATGCTCTAATGATGATGAGCATAATTAAATTATTAGTGTCTCCCAACTTGTACACTTCAGTCCAAGTTTTGCCACCTGTCAATGCCTCTTGTCTAGAAATCCTGATCCCATCGTCCCAAGAAGAGACCCACTGTTATTTGCTTCTCCGTAGAAGTCTATTCTTTTTTTGAAATTTTGCATTTCTTAGCACTTTAAGGCTTAAATAGCATAAGATTCTACACAGGTGGCCTGGCATTTGAATGGAGAGCATTTTTAATTCCTGCAACAGCAGCGATAAATAAATGGTGAGAAAGTTAGTTGGCAGTGAGAGAAGGTAAAAGAGGGGAACAACAATGAGGTAGGCAATGCCTGAGGGACAGAGCGAGCCAGGCAGAAAAACAGCCTCTGTGGGGCACGGGAGTGGCGCTCTCCCTCTCAGCAGTGCTTTACCTGGGGGGCTCTCCCTGTCCATCTGCTTCCACTGGTCTTCCCTGGGGGGTCAGAACATTCACTTTCATGCATATCAAGTGTTTGCTTGAGAACACTCAACCCAGCATGCTAGTGGACTCTGGGGAAGAGCCACCATCACTGATTGGCTAGGGCGGGTGACAAGAAAAGAAATTCTTTAATCAGAAATGAGTTTGTTGTAGTCCTTTATAAATGTGTATTTTAAAAGGCATTGAGTAGTTGGAGATGTCAAAATAAACCCACGGCTCTCAGCTCTGCACCCGCTGGCAGACTCTCGTGCAGCAGATGCCTTTGTAAGTAAGAATATGAAACCAGAGCCCAGGGTGTTCTGTGAAAACGGCTGCTTGTTCTGAATATGGCTCTGATTCCAACTATCTTTATGGCTATTGGGTTTGGGACAGGCCATCTATTTTCCTATGTGTGTGAACACATGTAATTTCTGTTTCCTATACTAAGGCTTTGCCTGTAGGCTATTTAGTTCCTTCACTAAAGTCCTGTCTCTTTCTAGTTAAAATTTACCTTTGGGAAATCACATTTTCATTTTATGAAAAATCCTTCTCTTTGGTTGTCTCCCACATGAAAATGAACTACTACACAGCTTCTGTGTGTGCACATTGCATTTTTAACCATCCTGCAATGGCTGGCCTGCAATTCCCAGCATCCTAGTCTGCTCGGGTGCAACATTTCCGTGAGACGATGAAGGCCATCCCCCCCGGGCTTAGGGTCTCGCCACTTTGTCGCTCCCTCCTCGCTGTGGTCCTCCCGTGGGGAAAGGGGCGTCAGGCATGTGATGCAAACATTGGCTAGCAATGACTTTTGTGTGCAATATTTTGAGGAACAATTATTTCTTTTCAGAAAAAACTGGAAGAGAAGCCGGTGCTAATAGGATCTAGAGCCGTGTAAATGGATTTCATTATAAATGTGTAAACATTAGAGCTTGTTGGTTTGAACAAGATTTTTATACCACTCTTGAAAATACAGGGCCTGGCTCATTGTGGAGTTGCCCAGTCAGTGGTTGCATGTTTATGAACAACTGAGTGAAAAAAAACAAAGCTGAATTCTCCCAGTGGCAAGCCTATTTTTAGTTTATAGTCAAATAAGCAGTTGCTCGATCACTTCCATTATTGCCTGTCTGTATCACTAGCTTGAACATTTTGATTAAAACGGCCCTTTGGGCTAAATAATCAATTTAGTTGGAAATCAAACAAATGAAAGATTTAATCGAAGTGACTATTTTTACACAATGAATTCAGATAATTCCTCCAAAAGGGCCAAATGTGTGTATATAACAAAGTTATATTTTGTTGAGTTTTGTTTTTATTTTATTTTTTACTATTTTGGGGTTATTACAGGAGCTTTCTTTGTTTTTTGTTTGTATGTTTGATTTTGTTGTTGTTTTGTTTTTTTCCTGCCTTAAAATGCTAGAGATAAACGAAGTTAGTCTAATTGGGCAGATATATTAGAAAAAGAGTATCTTAGGAATGGTCACATCCAAAGCTGTGTGTGGCTTAACATGATTATGTGAAGCTGCAAGTTGTCTGTAGCCTTTTCACACAGCAGCATCCTGGTCCTAACGCACTCACCCATTGAGAAAGAATCTTCTCTTTTAATAGCTAGTAAATCCAGCAAACATCCATTTCTGCATTTCTCCGGGCTTCGCTGAGAATGTTTAGCAACAGCAAAATGGCTGCCCCAGTCCTCTCCAGAGCCTACGTAGGTAGGAGAGGCCGAGGCTAGCTCTGTGCCAGGGAGATGTAGACTCTTTTCCATGGAACCCTTTGTGGTCTGTAGTCAGCAGGACTGGGTTCCGTATGTCCTACAGATGACCGATGAGTCTTGAATGTCTGTGCTCTGGCCTGAAAATGGCTGTCAAGAGTTAGGCAGCATAAGACGTGTCACGAAAAGTACCTGACTCTACCTCTTTTTCTTTTCCTAGGGAATGCAGTCGGATTTTTGGGGAAGATGGTCTGACGTTGAAGCTCTTTCTTAAAAGAACTGCTCCCTTTTCTATTCTATGGACTTTGACTAACTACCTGTATTTACTGGCTTTAAAGAAGCTGACAGCCACGGATGTGTCTGCTCTGTTCTGTTGTAACAAAGCATTTGTCTTCTTGCTGTCATGGATCGTGCTGAAAGACAGGTTCATGGGAGTGAGGGTAATGGCACACTTGATTCAAGGCGTGAGGCCGCCCTTAATTATGACCCCTTGGCACCAGGAGAGCTGCTTTGTGTCATGAAGTTTCTATAAAATGTTCCCATTGGTTCTAAATTGTGATGGTTCATAAGGATGCCCAGGCAGTTACAACATCATGAAAGGATAAAGAGGTTTCCACTGGGCAGTCAGCTGATTCCAACAGGAGGCACCAAAACAGACAGGGGAAATAAGTACTTTTTTTAGAATAAATGGTGTGATCAACTCCTCCTGTCCTCAGGAAAGAAGGGTCTGAGAAAGTTAGCCACAGTAATGATTCTGATTTGGTTTTTTTTCTATCATGATATGTTGGGACAACTCCCTCATGTTTTCCTCCCAGAGATGGATTTAATTAATATTAGTGTAAGTAGATAAGATGACTAAATAGTAATTAAAGTCACTGGTAATGGCACAATGTTGTCAAAACTGGCTATATGTCTATGTGACTAATCTGGAAATGGAACTTAAAAGCCACAGTTTGTACTTTTGGGTACAAATTAATTGAACTGCATTAAACTAACACCAACTACTTCAGTTCTGAGTGTACTCCTTTCAGAAATAATTTGTTTTTAAATTTCTATGTTTGTTCTATGTTAGCCTGATTGAAAGCCATGCAAATTTAAGAAGTCAGATCTCATATAATGAGGTGAAAATACAGAGAAAATAATTCTTTAGAAGGAAGTCTAAATGAATAGCCTTTTCCCAGAAGATAAACATCACATAATTATTGTTCTCCGAAAGAGATATCCAAGATTGGATTTGAAATTTATTTTGCTATCAAAACATTGCTCTTGTTGCAATCATTCCAGCATCCTTTCCTCCCTACATGCTGAAATTAATGTCTATGATAGATAGAGAGTTTATGATACCATTAACCCTTTTTTAAAAAATAGCAAATTCTGGTTGCATCTTGGGAGATGCTGTTCAAAAATTCAAGACTAAAGCTTGACGTGGACAGGGAGTAGAAAGTTATGGTAGAAGACAAGATGAGAAACTGAACCAGTCCATGATGTTATTAGAATATACCCATATATGGTACCACTCTCCACCAGCTAATCTTAGATTTGACACCCAAAGGCCTTAGCATGATTTTTTATATGTGGAGTACTGGTGCTGTCCACCTTCAGGTGCCCTGACAAGTCCCTGAGAACAGGGACCTTCCCTCTAGTGCTCAGGTCTCCATTCAGGATGGGCCAGTGCAAAATGAAAATGCAGGGCCCCTGTAAGAAAAATTATTAATAATTTCAAGATGGCAATAGCACAACATTACACCAAGGATAGGGCCCTTCTAATCATGGGCCCCTATGCATCTGCATAGGTCATATGCCCATGAATCCAGTCCTGCCTCTATCTCTAACACCTAGAATAATTCAGGGGGAAAAGGAGGGGCTCAATAGATATTTGAGGACATAGTGAATAAACTCATGCTTGTGAGATCTTTCTCTTTTCTATCGACAACCATCATGGATCACTCATGAGAATTTGGAGGACTTTGTCAGAGGAGGGGGAAAGAGGAGATGTAAGGCTTTTTTGCTCTTTCAGTGGCATCTGAATATGAAAAGGTAACCAGTACTATTAGATTTACCAGTGAGAAAATCAATTGCATTAAAGTGAATGAAAGCATTTAACTATGGAACTTACTGATGCAAGAGAATATATCAAAAGAGGTTCAATGTTTACTGGAGGTCTTTTAAGAAAAAACAAAACAAAACTCAGCTATATAATTTATACTTAAATCACAGAAATATAAGAAATCTGCCTAGAGGCTACAAACCATTGCCGTTTTTAAATTGGCATCTGTAGTGGGTTGAATGGTGGCCCCCGATGAGGTGTCCATGTCCTAATCCCCAGAACCTATGAATGTGGCCTTATTTGGAAAAATGGTCATTGAAGAAATTATTAATTTAAGGATCTTGTGAAGAAGAGGTCATCTTGGATTATCTGGGTGGCCCCTGAATCCAATTAAGTATCTTTATAAGAGACACACACAGGAGAGACACACAGAAGAGGAGAAGGCAATGTGACCATAAAGACAGAGATTGGAGTGGTGTTGCCACAAGCCCAGGAAAATCGGGGCAGCCACCAGAACCTGTCAGAGGCAAGGAATGTATTCTCTCCTACAGCTGCTGCTGGGAGCATGGCCCTGCTGGATTTAAACTTCTGGCCTCCAGAACTGTGAGAGAATAAATTGCTATTGTTTCTAGTGACCAAGTTTGTGGTAATTTGTTACAGTAGCCTCGGGAAACTAATACAGCATCTGTAAATAATAAGACCTAATTAAAAAAATATTAAGTAGCCAATAGTAATTGTTATAAGTATATACATAAAGTAAGACATCATAGATGGCAAAATGGTAAGTATTAATGTCAGGCACACTGGTAGTAGTCAGATACTTTTCTTTTTAAATGACAGGAAGTATTTTACTTCTCATTATAAAACATTAGGAAGTGTTTAATGCCATGTTTCAGAAGACTGTCAAGGTGTAATCTTAATGATGCCCATAATCAGGCCATGAAATATGAGGAGTACCAAAATGTATTCAGCATTTTGCCTTTTGACAGTATCAGCAATTCTTTTCCTCCTGACACATATTGAAAACATGTATAATTAGGTCATTGGAGAAATTAAAGGAGTGCAAACAGAATACTGACAATATAAGTGCAGCTTTTATTGGCTACATCCATAAATACTCTAAAGAACAGCCTGTAAATCCCACCTGACTTGGAATACTCTTAAAAAAATAGTTAAAGGGTTGCTTTCAGTCATCAAATTAAAACTAATATTTCTGACTCATTCTAAAGCTTTAGTAGTTTAGAAAAAGATCTTTTTTGGATTATAATTCTCATATGTTTAACCTCAAGAATGATCACATTTAAGACAAATATATGTCCTTCTCTACTACTATTTTTTATACTTTAAGTTATAATATCAGTAAATATGGATTTATCTGGAGCACTGGTTGGCCAAAATTAGCAATGCTCACAAAAAAGCCAATTTTGTATTCTGAATAACTTGTTATTATTTTGTTTCCTCTGAATGTTGATTGAATTACAGGTGGAAAGGTAATCTGTGACACACTTAATTTTCTATTATGAAATCATTTCAACCAATTTGCCGGTAAACTTTGGTGTGGTAGAAACCTCTTTCATGAGTAGTTGCTTACAGCTGATAAATGATTATCCCAGGGAAATTAGTAAACTTATTTAAAATATCTTTTTTTTAATTGCAAAAATGTTTGGTTAAGTGAGAATCCAGCTTTGAAGATGGATGTTTCCCCATCTCCAAGATCTTGTCTTGTATAGCTAGAGTTCTTAAATTCACGAGAAGCAGAAAAACTGCCTTAAAAAAAGTTTTTCCTCAAAGAAAATGAGCTACAGGTTGAGGGTTTTCTTCTCTGTCACTGGTGCCTATTTCACTTCAATGAAAAGTCAGTATTAGACTAGAAAGTTAAAACCTTTCCTTTAAGGACTTGACTCTCCCTCATTTTTTATATTATTAACTGAAATCTTTCTTTCCTTTTTAAAATTTCTTTGAATATATGAAGAAAATTGGTGTGCAGTGAATGGCTCAGCAGGCCCCACTTTTCTTAGCAGATTTAGGAGGTGAATTCGTGTCCCTTCAGCTTGGCACCCACATATTTTCTAGCTATAATTGTGTCCCTATGCAGCTAACTTCCCAAGCTGTCGCTCTTCTGGAGACTTTGCCACATCCACCGAGAACTGACTGGAGTGTGTCAGTGAACATGAATCTTTTGTTGCTTAAACTGCACTTCTCTGAATTCAAATTGGGCTCCAGAGCGCTCTAAATCAGGACACTGGAGCTGAGCTGCTACTGATTTGTGCCAATATTACACATTTAGATAAGATTCAAGGAAACCTTCTGTTTCCATCTTGCCTTGGGTTGACATTTATGCAATAACTGCTCATTCAGGTACACGGCAGAACCCACGTTCCAGAACCTTGATGGCTCCCGGAAGAGGCGGTAGAGAGTGTGTAGTGGGACTCAGCCCTTTCACCCCTTTCTTGGCAGGAGAACGATGTATGAATACCAGGGGAGAAAGCTGAGCCGTAATGGCTCCAGTTTTATGCGCACAGAGAATTCATAAACCCTTCAACAAGGAGCAGTCAATAGGTCCACTCTATCCCTCCAGCGCGCGCGCACGCGCACACACACACACACACACACANCAGCGCGCGCGCACGCGCACACACACACACACACACACACACACACACACACACACACACACACACACACACACACACACACACTTTAGTCTTTCCTTCTGGCATTTCTTTTCCTCTTTTCCATCTCAGTCTCCCATTGGGATCATTTTCAGATGGATTTTATTCATAGAAACATAGATGTGTGTGTGTGTGGCAGGGGTGGGGCAGTGGGAATCTTGGTGTGAGCCTCTGCACCCCTTGGGTCTGACCAGTCCTGAGGACTGACCCTCCTTCCCTCACCCCTACACCATACCTGCCCACCTCTTTCATTTCTCTCACTTGAACTCCTGCCCGATTCCTTTGGATCTGAGGAAAACACATGCTTCCTCTTCATGGAACCTTAAATGTAACATGTGAATAAATGTAAGGATTCTGTATAGCCATGGTTCCTTGAAAACAGACATTAAATATACTCAGCGAGAACAAGGAGATCATCTATGCAGGTCACATTGGCTAAGCCATGAATGTGCGTCCCACCCTCAGCTGCTGGCTGACCTGTAGTCTTGAACGTGAGTACAGCCCTGCTGGAAGTGTAGCTTTGAGGCCCTCCTGTTAGGGGCAGCTGTAGGCTTGGGATTCAAGGGTCCCTGGTGAGCCCATGAAACGCCTGCATGCTCCACCCACCTGCAGAAACAGAGTTAACCACAAGACAAATTAAGGGGAGATATTGGGGTTATAAATAGAAAGAGAAGCAATTAATATCCTGAACCCTAGAAGAGCTGATGTTGCTATGTGAATACTAATTCTGGAAATCGTTTTTCAATGGGAAATACGGGGAATGTCATGAGGCTGGTAACCCTCATGGAGAGCTAGAAAAAGGCCGGACCCTGGTGATTTTTGAGGGCCTGAGCCAAAAGAAGAAAAAAAAAATGAAGATATAAGAAAACAAAAACAGCCAAAAGCAGGATGCTTTTCTAGACTTTATCTGTACAAATGAATTCTTTAGTAAAAGAAGCCTAGCTTTCATGCAGGGTCACAGGTGGGGTCACAGGTGGTGTATAGCACAGTGAGACCACCAAATATTCATCTTTATGGCCCTCTTTGGGCTTTAGGAGCAGGCATGACCAGCCTCGTGATCCCTCAGGTTTGCCCAGAAAGTGGACACAGAGACTGTCAGAGGAAGGTAGCTGTCTCCTGTCATTCAAGTGGCATGCTGGGATAAGGGGCTCACCATGATGTGAGAGGACCGAGAGGTGTAGACAGTTAAAAATGAGGCATTGTCAGTTTTATGGTCACTGTGGTTACTAACATTTTCACCCAAAACAGATTCAGGTAATGGTAGTGGTAGGTTTTCTGTCTTATTTAGACACCTCTAGTTGGTGATGGGGCTGGAACTGGGATAGGTTGTGAGGAGAGCCATGTTTTTCCAAAGCCAAGCAAGTGGCACAACGAGATGGTACATTTTCAGCACAGGAGTCTCTCATGAGATGCTAATATGCTCAGAAGCATTTCTGTGGTTTCACCATGTGGATGTGCACATAGGAGCACTGCTGACACAATATTTAAGGCACTGGCTTCCTGCAGGCACATTTCCAGTGTCCTGAGCCTGAGAAGAGCCATTTTGTGTTTTTCTGTTGAGAAGAACAGACTATTTATTCTTCCTTAATGACTGCTAAATTCTGAAAATGCATGTGACTCAGATCTGTGCTTGGGTTGTTTGTTGTCTGGAAATTTGAAGAGTATTTACTTTGTAGTTAACCAATGGCCAAGTTACGCCACACAGGGACCATCCAAATGACCACTCTGCAGGGCTTCCACCCGACATCTTCCCTGCATTGTCTAGATTAGCTGAGATCCCTTCCCTTAGTTCCAACTGTGTAGATAAGAAACATAAGTATTGAAAATTTCTTAAAAGATGGCCATAGAGAATTTATTCTGTCAGATAATTGTGAAATTTAAATAAAAATGTGTAAAATAATTTAACTTATCTTTCCCCACAGGAAACCTATATAACCTATAAATTGTTAACCTATAAATTACTGTTTGTACCATAGAGAAGAATTTTCCAAACATCTCAAATAGTCAGATTTTCATGCTTTGAGAACTTAACTAACAGCGTTGTCTGGCCCCCTAAAGTGAAAAATGCCTCTTTCCAGGAAGGCAATTGAAAGAGACACTGCTGTAATTTATATGTCAATTTAAGTGTCTAAGCTACTATTTTCACAAGCACTTGAATATAAAATGTAATGGAGATTTTAAAGAGTCTCACCACGGTTATAGCTTTGAATTGCTACCAAATTATGTAATCTTTGTCCATATCTAATTCCTATCTTGAGAAAACTTATCCTAGAAATACTAGGCATATATATTTTTTACTAATGGCTGACTCAGAAGAGAAAGAGTTTCCAACTGTGGTCAGAGCCTGGGGATGATAGTATTAAACAGTCATTACTTTTCACAGTGATTTTGTTTTTGTTTTTGTTTTGCTTTTTTGTTTGTTTTCATAATTCCTTAAACCTGGAATTACATATTATCAAATACTTCCAATAATTTTAAATATGAAAAGCACATCATGTTTCAAGTTCAGTAGCATTAACACCGTGTTAACCCTGTCTTGTTTACTTGACCCAGAAAGTACAACTGCTGCTTGGCCAAAAGAAAACACATATGAATTCAAACTTATTACCCTACAAGTTCAGTCTTATGAGGAAAATCAACTTGTGCACCTGAATACTTTAACCCATGGACATTGTTTAAACACAAAAACAACTCAGGAAATGTCGGTGTCTACTGTGCCTTTTCATTCTCTGAAATCAGACTGCTCAAAGAATTGTTGCAAATCCCTGGATGAACTATACATCTCCAAATCAAAGAAAATGATAGTAGCCCTCACAGAATTTCCAGGTCTAGAGAACCCCCTCACCATGTTTATTTATGAGGCTATTCTTGTTTGGAAAATTTCTTTGACACCTCATGGTGTGTGTATTAAATTCTATCCCCTATAGTTTGAGGCTTCAGAGAATTTGATATTCACTCAGCACGAGAAACCCCTCCCATCAAGAAGCCTCCCGGATAACACTTTATGAAGACAGTTTTTCACTGCTGACATGTCGGCGTCTGTTCTCAAGTACTCCTGCTGTTTTTCATAAAGGACACGTTAGCATGGAGCTGGCTCTGAAACCAACTGTGTCCTTGCTTTTGGTGGTCATTAACAAAAGAATTGCTTTAGCAATGTCTAAATTATATGTGTCATCAGTATGATACTTTGCACTGGCCTAGAGCATGTCTACGGTTACATGTAACAGATCTACATTTTGTTGTAATAAGTAATTCACTAAAAATGTTCAAAAGCACCCCCCCCCAAAAAATACACATGATGAAGCTATTGATTTACTCGGGAATACTCAGAACTGAAGCTTAAAATTAGTCACCACATATGTTTAAATTTCACACAAAGCTGTGTCTTGATTTTAAAGTTGGTGATACGATTTCACAAGGAAATGCCATATTGTTACCTTTTCCAGGGTTGTTATTTTGCTGAGTACTATGGCTTTGAAACGTTCTCCAGTAGATCCAGTTTAAGACAATTAAACTGCAAACCACCATTTCATTAAGGGAGTAGACTCCTGTTTTGAATATACCAAGTATCATATTAATTTATCATAAGCCATTATGATTTCAACCAAATTATGAACATTTCCCTTTATGCAGTTAATGTTCCAGAATAATGAAATAGAATTACCTTTCTGTGGTTTAATTTGCATATAAACAAAAGGAAGAACTGCCTCCATTTGACATTCCACGTGACAGTACAAGCTTGCTCTTTATAAGAGATTACTCACTTTTTTTCTCCCCTTGGCCTAAATTTTGCTTCTTAGCTGCATCACTATTATGTTCCCTAATCATGTTCTGGTTCTGTGGAGGTCTTCAGAAACATGCATGGATCCAAGAAGCTGATTAAAATGTATGCTAAATTGTTTGAAGAAAAAGAATACAGTATAAATGGAAATGCTTAGAAGTGACTTCCTATTACATTCATTTCACCAATATGGGTATAAATCTCTAGGAAGTTGAGCTAAAAAATTAAACTAAATTATTAGCCCTTAATTAGAATGCAAGCAGCTTTTATATTCTCTGCCTGGGTGTCTCATGAGCGTATTGATTTCTTGTTAATATTGACCCTTCCTACCAGTGAACAGTGATGTACAAGAGGTAACTGGGTTTGAGGAAGTATCTAGCAACTTTCATGAAGTCTTCAACAGCTTGCTCAAGGATATGGAGATATCAATTTTTTTTTTATTTCTTTGCATTCTATTTGACAGATAGTTGCTGCAATAATGGCCATTACGGGCATCGTCATGATGGCGTATGCCGATAATTTCCATGCTGACTCCATCATAGGTGTGGCCTTTGCAGTGGGCTCAGCCTCTACGTCTGCATTATATAAGGTACATTGTGCACTTTCTTATGTAGTAAATTGTCATTTGTAGCTTAGTAATAAAGTAAGGAAAGACAAAGAAAATCTTGGCTAGAGAAAAATAAAGATGGTTTAATAATAAGTACCATTTATTGAGTACTTACTACATGCTGGGAACTTGCCAGAGAATTTCACCTGTGTTAATGCACAGGCACTTATACTCAATTTCAAAGAGGTAATTGGGTTTAGGGCTGGCTGAGTGGTTCAGTTGGTTAAGAGCTTGCTTAAGAGTTTGAGCTCTGAGCAACAGCAGTTTGAGTCCCGGCCCAAGCTGAGCAGCCGCTGAGCTGCCAACAGGTGTCAGGACGGCTCAGCTAAAAAAATAAATTAAATTAAATTTAAAAAAAAAAAGAGGTAATTGGGTTTGAAGAAGCATGTAGCAATTTTCATGAAATCTTCAAATGCTTGCTCTGGGGTATGGAGATATCATTTTTTCTTTTATTTCTTTGCATTATATTCGACAGATATTGTTTTGGTATGTTAATATTATTTTAATGACAGGTAAGGAAACTGAGGTTTTGAAAGATTAAGTAACTTACCCCAAAATCATACAATCAGGAAGTGATAAGAGCCAAGATTTAAACTTGGACTGGCCAACTCCAAAGTCCTTGCTCCATGGCCCTGCCCCTCCCAAATCATCAACCAGCTGTAGCAGGGACTGAGAAAGACCTCTCCTCTCTTTATGTTTTTTTATTTGAACTATCTGTGGTCATTATTTTAACTCCAAGTGAGGTGTTAAAAATAATTAGTTGTCATTTGAGAGGTTACCTTTTGCTGCATATTAACACTGGCCACAGAAGCTCACGTTAGTAGCAGAATGAAGAGCCTCTTTTCCTCTCTGATGGATACTCTGGGTCTGCACTATGTACTCACCATTCTTTCTCCCCTGGAGCTGCCTGTCACCTGTGAAAATTCTATTCAGAACCATTGCCCCTAACTTCAGAAGCAAGGACTAAGAGAGCAGATCTGAAAGATTTTTCCTCAAAGCTCCACTTTTCAGAGCCAACTTTCTGGATGTAGCTAAAGGACTGTTCCACTTTCATCTCTCTTGGTGTTTCAGTGAGAAAATTGTCTCTGAAAGGCAGGAAATGCCCTTTGCATCCTCCCTGGAATCCTGCTCTGATTATTCACCAGCACTGCGGTTCAGAGGACACCAAGTCTATTTCCACACTGACATTTCCTGGCCCATTGATTCTGTGTGACAAGCTTGACAAGTGTTCACTCAATCGCTATTAGTGTCTAACCTGCCCCCAGCTGAGACTCCACTGAGCTGTCTGATGTGACCAAAGACGACTAGCATGTGCTCAAGTTCTCTTGATTAAGTCTCTCAAAAGAAAGAAATAAGTTCGGTTGAAATTAGAAGCAATGCCTGGAATTGCTGTATGACCAGGATGGCTATTATAGAGAGAATTCTCCTGATTATGATACAGATGGATTCTTTCTGGGGGTGGGAATATTTGCTGGCATGCACAAAATCATATGTGCGCCACAGAAAAGACCTGCTCCATTCTCCATTGTTTGAGGATTCATAAAGGAAGCACAGGGGTTAAAAAGCCCAGAAATATGGACTAGAGTCCTGGCTCCTCCCAGCCTGATGTGTGACTTTAGGTTAGCCATTCACATTTCCTCATGATCTTTCTCTGTGCACAGATTTATAACCTAGAGAAAAAAATTTTTTCTTAATCTGGAGAATAAACATAGTATGTGTGAAAGTATTTTAAACTCTGAGAGAAAAGTGCTTATAAACCCATGGCATCATTATTATTTCTCTCAACAGTATAACAACAGGCTCTCTCCATCCAATCGGATTTTCAGTATGTGTCTAAGTAGTGACATGAATTCCATGCTTGGGGGGAGGAATTGATGACGTCTCAGACTAGAACAGTGGTTCTCAACCTGTGAGTCGCGACCCCTTTGGGGGTCGAATGACCCTTTCACAGGGGTCACCTAAGACCATTGGAAAACAAAAAGATATTTACATTATAATTCATAACAGTAGCAAAATTACAGTTATAGAGTAGCAACGAAAATGATTTTATGGTTGGGGGTCACCACAACATGAGGAACTGTATTAAGGGGTCGCGGCATTAGGAAGGTTGAGAACCGCTGGTCTAGAAGGTTTCTCCTGGGCCTCTCTGTTTTTATTTATCATTCATCCTATACCCATCACTGATGGTGGCACTTAACCCAGTGTACAGTACCACGGCAGTTCTCAGCACCATGAGAAATTTGCTGTTTCATCTGAAGGCTATAAAGCATCCTTATTTCAATGACCCATTAGATGCCATGGAGATGGCAGGGTAAGGAGATATGGAGGATAAACTCTGGGCCAGCAAGTTCACTGTGTAGATGAATAGAACTCGCCTTTCTGATATAGCAAAAGTCTCTGACTATATGTGGCTTAAAAGTTTTCTTTTTATCCCCCCCCCATTCCAGGTTTTGTTCAAGATGTTTCTTGGAAGTGCCAACTTTGGTGAAGCAGCACACTTTGTCTCCACGTTGGGTTTCTTCAATTTAATCTTCATCTCCTTTACGCCAGTCATCCTGTATTTCACCAAGGTGGAGCACTGGTCCTCCTTTGCAGCTCTGCCGTGGGGCTGTCTCTGCGGGATGGCAGGGCTGTGGTTGGGTAAGTGACCCCAGGTGCTTCTTTCCATCTCTGATTTCTCTTGGATAATTTAATTATCACATTAGATTATTCCCTTCGGTACCTCTGTCCTCTATTTCCCAAAGTTGACCACTATTGGCTAATGTTACTGAATGTTTAGAAGGTCCTTTGAAGGCTCTTGTTTGATTAGATCAGAGCTCTCTGACTAGTGTGCCTCCTGTGGGTTAAAGTGTGAGCTGGAGCTCCAGGCCACTCTGATCACCATTGGTCTTCAAGCAGCCTTGTCATTCTTCATGATGTATTGAACAACGTTGTTGTATTCCAAGTGTGCCACGGTGTGTCAGGCAGAGGGAGAGAATGAGAGAATGAGAGTGGAACACTCATTCAAGGAACTCAAAATGGCTGGAACACTGAGTGCAGAAGGAATACAGAGGAAGAAAGGAGATGACATTCAGGAGAGAAGCAGGCTGTGAAGGACCCCTAGAAAGCCACATTCAGGGAAGTTAGGTTTAAAAACTACTTAATCTCTCTGCAGGGAGGTGACAGGCTCATATCTGCAATTTAAACAGCCCACTCTAGCTGTGTATAGACAATGAATTTGAGATAGAAAGCTCTCACCAAGCAAAAGAAGAAGGCAGAACTGGGCTTGGGGCTCAACTAAGTAGGCTGCTTAGTCAATGACCAAGAAGAAGTCCCCTGGGCTCATTTTAATATCTTCTCTTCCTATCATTCCCTATAACTCCAAGTCTGCCTCCTTCACCTGAGTAACCAGGAGGCTCCCACTTTCAAGCTGCACTGCTAATGTCACTTCATAGGAGAGGGACCTGAAAAATAACAAGGCTGCTCTGCTCTCACCACGGAGACGAACAGTTATCACCACCCAATGACTTAGTGTCTCTTTACTCAGAATCACATCATTTTCATTCTGTTTTCTTTCCTTATACAACCTAAGGACAGCCCCCTCTCTGCCCGCTCCACACTTACCCACAAGACTTGACCTGAAAGACATCTGCCAACCCTCAGCTGACTTTCTTTATCGGTGTGACATAATCTGAAACATCATCTGAAGCAGCACTGCAATTCCAAGGAAAAAAAAAATGCCCTTATTTTCTCAACCCATACGCATTGGGTCATTTTTTTCTACTCTGGCCCAGGCCCCTAAAAAGAGATCTTAAGCAAGACAGGAAACACTTCAAGAAAAGGATCAAACACTAATTGCTGGTCTTTTGAATTCTGCTTTTAAAGGCCAGGAGTGGTTATGACCTGTTATAACCTCTGCTAAGTTAAGTAGAAACTAACAGTAGAGTTTCCATACGACCAAGCATCCTAATGAAAAGTGCCTAGATAATTTCCTGGCCAAAACAAATCTAACTGGAAACAATCATCACCAAAATTTCACTGACTCTGGCCCCAGCTGTGTACACATGATCTCTGGCTCGCTGCAAAGTAACCCTCCTCCAACGTCTATCCCTTAGCATGTCTAATACACGCTCCTGAGCACACCTGCTCAGGCTGGGTGCCACCGTACAAGCGGGACACTGTGGTTCCCCACCAAGCAGCATGGTCTCCACGCTCCACTGGGTGTCATATCACAGCACAGTGAAATGATTATTTCACCTCTTTGCATCTTGCATCTGCTCCATATACCGTTTGCCAGCCAACTGCAAGAGATCAGGCAGCCAGTGTGGCAGAGGAGGAAAAAAGTGTAAGACCACCGCAGGTTAGATATGCACATATCCATCTCCAACATTAGAGGACTAATTGACCAAAGGTGCAGACAGTTTAGAAGGCATGTTTGGCATAGACATTGATTCTTTTATGTTAAGAAAGAAATCGCCCAGCATATCCATCCCCCTTTATACTGTATATCCTCCTTTGTTTTACAGTCTTCAACATCCTGGTGAACGTTGGCGTGGTGCTGACATATCCGATCCTAATCTCCATTGGGACAGTGCTCAGTGTTCCTGGAAATGCAGGTACTGGTGCAATTTGACAGATGCGCAGTAAGCCTCCGGTTCATGTTTGTTTTATGCCTTGAGTTGTTTCTTTGAGCAATCGTGAATTATGTCCCTTGCCTAGGAAGATGGTTTTAAATATCATGAAGGTGGCAGACAGCAGAATAACTATGCAGCAGATTTAAAATTTGCAACTACAAACACTATTTTTACTTGGTTGTGCTTTTAGAATTAAATGCCAAATGTATCATTTGGGTTTCATGTAATCTCCCTAACAACCTAATTTTGTGGTATTTTTAGAGGAAGTCCTATGGAAACAAAAGGCATCCCAGCATAGGACTCTCAAGTAAACGTCACTAATGAAAGTGTAGGAAATGTATGGGGTGTTGGCTCCCCATCAGACTGTCCATGGGGAGCTGCAGAAGCTTCTCTGGGGGGGCAGAGCAGATGGCCCTCTGGAATAGATATAGGAAAAAGCAATTTGATTCACTTCAGGGACAAGAGGAGACACTATTATTCTAGGATAAGCTTTCTAATGAAAACTGTCAGTAAAACAAGTAATGGAAGGGAGCTATCTGGATGACTGTGCAGTCCTTCTAACTTAAAAAATCTGTGATTCCAAGCCTTAGGTAGTCATCTTTCTTTGCCTCAGGACAACCAGTTTATTGAACATCTACTATGTGATCAGGACCATAGAAGAGACTGGGAAAAAATGATACTGTTGTTTTGGAAAGCTTACACCTGAATTTGGAAAACAAGACCAACATACATGCAATAACATAGAACTCTACAGAGTAATTTATTTTAAATGCCAAATTATGTAACAGACTCGAAGGACTATAAGATATTCAGAGGAAAGGAATATTGGGGAGGAGTGTAGTTGTCAAGAAAGTTTATTCATTCATCCATGGAATAAAGAACTTCTGAGCCCTTGGTGTGTGCCAGGAACTGTGATACATCCTGAATAAGGCACAGTCCCTGCTTTCAGGGCTTACGTACTATGGAGAGGGAGACAAAAAGAACTGAGTTAATACAATGTAAAGAGAGAATCGCTCTGATAGAGGTAGGTACTAACTACTCTGAGAGAACACAGGATGGGCAGCAAGGAAGGCTTCCTGCAAGAAGCCTAACAGGAGAGATCTAATGGAGGGTTTAGCCGGATGAAGTGGAGTTGAAGAGAGAAGGGCATTCCATGCAAAAAGAACAGCATGTCTATGATCAGCTAGGTACCTAACCCCCCAAAACTGAAAACGGGGACTCAAAAATATCATTGTACATGAATGTTCAGAGCAGCACTATTTGCAATGGTCAAAGGTGGAAACAACCAAATTTCCATCAACAAGTAAATGGATAAACAAATTATGATACACATAATTGGATGCTATTCAGCCATAAAAAGGAAAAGAAGTACAAATACATGCTCCAACATGGATGAACCTCGAAAACATCATGCTAAGTGAAAGAAGCCAGACACACAAGGTCACATATAGGGTGATTCCATTTATATGAAATATCCGGAATAGGTAAATCCATGGAAACAAGCCACAGATTGGTGGTTGCTGGGGTTTGGGGGTTGGTAGTACAGGGCTGCTTAATGGTTGTGTGGTTTTATTTTAAAGTGATGGAGATGTTTGGGACTCAGATAGAGGTGATGGTTGTACAACATGATGAATGTACTAAATGCCACTAAATTCACTTTAAAATGGTTAATTGCATATTGTATGAATTTCATCTCAATTAAAAAATTTTTAAAAGAACCATGTACCAAGACCTAGATATGAACAAGATTGACTCATTTGAAGAATCTTCAATGGTCCAATGAAACTAGAGAAGCATGAAGGGATGCAGAGGAAAAGTCTTAAGAAAGGTGAATGACTGCACGGTAATTAAATCAGATGACACAAGCCCCGAAGTCTAAGTAAGACTTAGAGATAAGGAACGAAAAGCAAATGAAGGGAACACCGTAGATCACGGTATAGAAAAAGGAAAGGTGAGCTTGAAAGAACAAGGAAGACTTTTTGACATCTTTAGAAGTAGCACTGATTTTGGTCATTTTTTTTTTTCAAAGAAGCTTAGAAACAGTCCTAGGCGGTGACTGACCTGATATTTCTTACTTAGCGGTGGATCTCCTGAAGCAGGAGGTGATATTCAATGTCGTCCGCCTGGCCGCCACCATCATCATCTGCATTGGGTTTCTGCTGATGCTGCTGCCCGAGGAGTGGGATGAAATTACCCTGAGATTCATCAACAGCCTGAAGGAAAAGAAGGGAGAGGAGCACATGGATGACATCACAGACTCCAGTGTACACCTGCGGAGCAGGAGCAGGGCCAATGGGACAGTGTCTATACCACTGGCTTGAATGCACGTGTATGTATATTCTGTGAATATAACAAAATTTTCTCACTCCCTGTACACTCACACGACAGTATTAACTCTGAATTTGGACAAGTCATATGTGAAATAATGCCAACAATAAAAGTTTACATTTATATGCTTATCAAGGAACTGGTGTAAACAATCATAATAAATTTTTTTTATTAAAACATATTCATCCTTTGTCTTAGTCCTTCTGTCTTGGAGGGATTCCTTTCCCCATAATGTACAAAACGTCCTGAAAACATAAGATTCTTTTAAATGATGGGCTTGTCATTACCTTTTTCTCACCTGGAATGGAGACTTTTTCATTCTATCAGAGAAAGTGGCATAAGAGGAAAACACATGAAAAGGATACACACTGTATAAATATATATATATATATATATATGTATATATATATATATATATATATATATATATTTAAGTCCAATAGGAACCTTAAATTTGAAAGCTGAAAAGTAATTAAACGTATCAACAGAACACTTTCTATATACAAGACCTACACTAGGAACTATGAAGATGTGAAGATATGGAAGACCCCACCTGTACTTTCAATGAACTTAGAATAGTCCAGAGCATGAGAGGTTACAAGTATCTCTAATATGTGGTAGAGATTTGAAAATGACCCACTGGTCATAGAGAGGATATCTGTTGCCAGCCATCTCTAAAGCCCTTCACCACCAAGTTTTTTGAAAGAGTTGTTTATATTTGCTGTCACTTCAACTTCCATTCACTCTTCAACCCACTACAATCTACCTTCTACCTCCATCATTCCTCAGGCAGTGCATTCGCCAAAGTCACTAATGACCTCTCTCTTAAAAAAAAAACCATATGACACTGTTTAGTCCTTACTTTATTTTCCTCTCTGCAGCATTTGACAGGATGACCACTCCTTTTTCCTAAACTAGTCTCTTCACCTACATCCCATTAGACTTCCCTGGTTCTCTTTGTCCCTTGCTGGCTGCTTCTCTGGGCTTCTCTTCCTAGGCTGGTCTCATCATGTCAGTGTTCAGTCCTTGGCTTTTGTAGCATCTCACTCCACACTCTCTGCCTTGGGGATCTCATCTGCTCCCATGGCTTCAAACATCCAGGTGGTGGCGTCTTCAAAAGTTTTATCTCCAGCCCAGATTTGTCACCTGAGCTTCAGATCTGACCATCCGAATGTCTTCTGGAAGCTCATTTGGATGCCTCATTGTTCATTTCAGGTTCAAGAACAAAGTTGAATTTATCATCTTTCCTCCCCAGACCTATATTTCTTCCCCTCCATTGTTCCTTGCCTAGGTTAATAGCATCATTGGTCACTAGCTGCCCAAGCCAGGGATCAATCTTAAATTCTGCCTTCCTCACCCTCCACATCTAAACCATAAGTCCTATTGATTCTCTTTCTTAATATTTCTTGAATCTATACACTTCCCTACTACGTTACCAATTCTAGGCCCCGTCTTTCCTTCCTGGGATGAATGAAATACACTCTTTACTGGTCTAACTCCTAGTCTTGCCTCTCTCTAATCCCTTTTGTGCCTTGCAGCGTGACTTTTCTAATATATAGATGTGATCATTCTGCTCTCCTGAATAAAACACTTCAGTGGCATCTCATTGTCCTCAGGAAAAGGCCCAAAGACCTTTGCATGTCATTCAAAGTTCATCACTGAATGGCCCCTGACAGCCTCTAGAGAAGCACTATCCAATAGAACTTTCTGTGATAATGGAAATACTCTATATTTGCACTGTTCAACACAGTAGCCACAAGTGGCTGTTGAGCTCTTTATATGTGGCTAGTGCAACTGAGGGACTGCGTTTCTAATCTTATTTACTTCGAATTGATTTGAAAGTAAATTTAAATAGCCATATGTGGCTATTGGCTACCATATCAGACAACACAGCTCCAGAGCCTCGTTCCACCATACCACCCTTTGTGGCCCCCTGGAATTTCTATGCTTTAGTTACTCTGCAATTTTTGGAGTTCTTCAATCAAGACAGAATCTCTTTCTTGTTTTCTCTTTTCCTCTCTCATCACTTGAATAACCCTTACCTAGGCTTCATGACAGAATTTAGTCTTATTTTCTCGGGAAGCCTTTTTTTTATCCCCCAAGCTGAACAATGTGGCTTCTTTAGAAGCCTCTGCTTACCCCCAGTATAGCACTGGTCGCGCTCCATGGTCATTGTCAGTCTACTCATCCAAATTCCCAATAGACCATGAGCTCCTTGAGCGCACGGACTATGTGGCATTCATCACTGTGTTTCTAGCACAGTGCCTGGCACTTACAGATATTCAATAAGTGAACGACTTACACTGGATGGGTTGCTTCGCACTGGAGGTGTGGCCCTTCCCTGAACTCTATTAGATCAGTCTTAGTTAACAGCAGGGTCTCAGGTGAGATTAAAGACCAAAAGGGATTCAATGTGTCCCAGCCTTTGCTGTGTTTCCACAAAATACTAACTCACTAAACTGATAAAAGGCACTTCTTCCCTAAGGGACTGGTTAGGGTATCTAGCAATTTAAGATAATCTGCACTTCTGGGAAATTTAGTGCAAGAAGCCAAGCCCTTCTAGTACCTGTTCTAGTATTCTTTTTTTATTCAAGTGTCCCCAAAAGTGTAGATGAGACAATCACAGGACAAGCCAAGGGGACTCAGGATGCCACACCCGCTGGCTGGGCATCATGGTAAGTTAAAACCTTAACATTTTTGTACTTCTCTGTCATTTTTGAAAAGGCAATGCCAGTCCCCCGGCATAGGTAGATGACATGATATCAACTAAAATAATCCCCACGACATACTCTAAGCTTCATGAAAAATGGCACAAAATAAATGAAATAGATTATGAATAAATATGAATCAACTTATTATCTAAGTCAAGTTGTTTTTGACTATGTAAATGCCATATTGGTACAAACATTGCTTTTGCCTGGTTTTTAAATTACTACTAAACAGCAGTAATCACTGACTAACCCATCCCAGCATCTTGCTGTTACTTAGCACAACATTGAAAATTGCATTTTGACATGTTTAAGAAATGAGTTGTTTTGCTGTTTTTTACAATTCTTTTTGAAAAATGGAGTCAGCTAAGCCCTAATTCAACCTATGACTGATCACCATAATTAGCTTAGTCTATATTAAGAATACACTTCCATTATGGTATTCATTCATTTATTCATTCAAAAATTATTAAGTTCTACTTTTGGCTCTGACGTAGGGTGTTATGTTAGATGATCTCCACCTGGCCTCGGGCTGCCTCTAAAGCAACACTGTCTGATAGAACTTCCTGTGATTATAGACATGTCTTCTCTCTGTACTGTGAGGAAGGGGATACAAAATGTATAGGAAGTGGCCTCTCCTTCCAGGAACTTCAAACTTTATGGGTAAGTTGTTACCATGACAATTAAAACAACAACTCAGAAATTTGTTTAAATCACTTTGGGGAATGTAAGATATTCCCTTGAATTCAGAAAAAGTAGAGGAATCATAAATAAAGATACTAATACCTTTCCTTGCTACCTCTCATGGTCGTTGTGAGCATCAGATGGATAACGTATTTCAGTCTCTGGAAAAATATGGGTGTACCGCCTGTGTGCCTATGATGTGCCTTCAACGAGCCAAGTTCAGCTGGGTTTGGAGGATACTGACAAAGCCCCTGCCTTCATGGGTGGATGTACCTTGTTGAGGTGACTATTGTCTCTTTATCCAAACCCAATTCCTCCCCAAAGTCCAGGAGGCAATGGCTTCTGGGCGTGACTGAATGGGCAGCATAGTTCAGGGATGAAGAGAGAGCACCCATGTTGCAACCCGGACTCTGCACTTCTTAGAAGTGTGCCTTTGGCTAATTACTATCCTCTCTCTGCCCCCTTGATGTCATCATTAGTAAAATGTGGATAGTAATACCTATCATTTGAGGTTGATGATATATTAAATAAAATCACATGTAGAAGAGCGTAATACACTGCCCGACAGCTCAGCAGTATTAACTTCTGTTGGCCTTCCCTCTGTTTACCTTCCTCCAAGTCCTCATCCAGAGCACTGATCCGCAGCACTATGCTTAGCGAAGACACAGGGCCTGGTGCCGAGCAGGGAATTTTACCCAGAATAAACCAGAGAGACAAAAGAAGCCTGGCATGAAAAACACTCGGAGGAAACAAAAAAGAGTCCGCCGTTTCCATGTGCCCGGCTCCCCTCGGCACTGTGCATCGTGGCATTCTTGCCCAGCCAGTGGAACTAATTGCCTGACAAAAAGACAGACTGGCAACTTGGGCACTGAAATTAAAATCACTTCAACCGCGTTCTGATCGCTTCACAAACAAATTACAAGCAAATCAATTTTGCTCATCCAGGCTTTGCACGCCTGTTAATTTTGTGCAGGCCCTTTGTCGAGATGCACCCGAGGACAAAGGATTTGGAGAAGGACAATGTAAGCGATAAAAGAGCGAACAGTATAACCGGCGGAGCGTTCGAATGTTTCTGATACTTAAGTACAAATCCTCTTTCTTACTTATCCATAAACTCTTGTCACGGGTACAAAGAACACCCAGTACAGGGGATGCTAGTTTAGCTGGCAGGCTGGATCAGAAGTCTCCATTAATTCTATTTCTTCTTTTTTTCTTTCTCCCCCCTCTCACCCCCCACCACCAACTACCACCTGTAGTAACTGAGGTGAAGTGAGAACAGGAGAGTACAGGAGGTGATGGTCTGGGAGTGTTAGTACCAACAAACCAGAGGCAGAAAGAGCAGTGTTTTAAAGCTCTGATCAGCCAGTGTGCCTCCACACGTATGCCACAAAAGCAAAGGCTACTTGGTCATCGTCTGCTGGAGACAGCAACAACAGATCCTTTGGGAGCATGAGGAATCAAAAGCAAGAATTCTAACCTGGGTTCCAGGAATGGGTTTCAGGGATTGTTCCAAAAACCCCTGACAAAGTTTTCACAAATTGTGTGACTTAACTGCTTTCTTCTGGAAAAATAAATTCAGAGAATCCAGAGGCTCTAAAACCACACTGTTCATTTCAATGTGTTAGCCACTAGCCCCGTGTAGCTGTTGAAATATGGCTAGTCCAAATTGAGATGTGCTCTGTCAAATGCACCAAATTTTCAAGATTTAGTGTGAAAAGAAGAATGTAAGCTATTTCATTAATTGCCTTATACTCATTACATATTGAAATGAGAATATTTTGGATATGTT